TCCCCCAAAAATGAAGGAGATTTAGTTTGTAATTTAACGAGCAGTTGTTGGTAAGTGAGTCCGTATGTTTGTGATGCAGAGCAGATCTCCTGCAGAGTGTGTAGCAGCCTTAATGCGCCCCTGCTGCTGCTGGCTCATTCAAAGCAGGGGTAACAGGTGTCTGGCATGGCTGCTGCACGTCTATCTGCTCAGCTAACAGCGCCACCTGCTGGCCATGCCGCCACACGTAACAATACATGCACATTTACAGTTTCTCTTTTTCTTTCAGAACTACTGGAGGAGCACAGGTGGAAGAGATGACTCAAACAGGTGAAACACTGTAAACATCGTGATGTGTATTCATCCTTTTGTTTATAATATATTTGTCTGGTAATGAAAAGACTGCCTTCAGTTCACAAATCCAAAGTTTCTAGATTAAAGGCATGTGCTGGTTCGCCCTCGCCACGCTCGCTCAGCTTTATAGACGGACGTTTTTAAATCTGTGTGTCAAACCTTCAAAGGGCACGCTGGTTTGTTCCAGCTCCAGGCAGGTGGAGATGTCTACGAAGCTAAACACAGTTCCAGTATTTGTGTTGTGAGCTTTAAATTCAGAAAATGTTCGTACTGCTGTTCCTGAGTGGGTATCTTCACACCAGGTTCTCTCCACATTCAGCGTTCCCTCAGGCACCGATGGCTGGATGGAGTATGTTCCCATCTCACATAAGAAAAATGTCACAGTCACGTCTCCGCAGAGTCTCAAGGAAGGTAAAGTTTGGTGCTAACACAGACGGAGCAGAATGAGGAGCTAAAAGGATGAAGACCACCACTGGCTGAGATAACAGTCTGCATTCTTCCCATGCTGTGATCTGGGCAGGGGGCCCCTTGTTGTACGAGGGCGTGCAGCTGGTGCAGAACTCGGCGGCTTTGAACGGGACCCAGCGGGTGCTGCTGGATCATGTTTTATCTGAGGAAGAGTGTGCAGAGCTCAGACAGCTGGCACATGTAAGGACAGTTTTACAGATCGTGCATTTGTTTCTGTCTCAGTGTGTGAAACTGTATTTAAAGTGGTTTTTGTATTCTTGTCCTAAAGACTGTCACGATGGCAGGAGACGGTTACAAAGGCAGGATGTCCCCTCACACTCCCAATGAGAAGTTCGAAGGAGCCAGTGTGCTTAAAACCCTGCAGGTAAACACTGGTCACTAAACAAACAAGTCTCTAATTTCCAGTCTGGTTATGAATGTTAGGACAAGCTTCATAAACTGTAAACAGGACTGCTAGGTTACCTCCACTCTGATGGCGTTTACAATTTCCCTCTCTCCTCCCAGCACGGCTTTGAGGGCAGAGTGCCAATGAGAAGTGCTCGCCTCTTCTACGAAACCAGCGAGCGGGCGAGACGAATCATCGAGTCGTATTTCGTGCTAAACTCCACGTTGCACTTCTCCTACACACACCTGGTGTGCCGGACAGCCATCAAAGGTCTTCAGCTGATGCCAAAACCAGTGTTTAGTAAAGGAAATAAAATGCTGCCTTTCACACCAATGATTTCAAATCCGGTCGTTAAGTGATGACGTGACGAATCCTACTTCCGGGCCTAAAGTAGTCTGCGTTTAATATGGCTTTTGTGTTGTTAACATGTTTAATGTTTTGTATTTTCTTCTATTTCATCTCAAAAAGCTCCTAAAACAGTCAGTGATCACTGTTGACCTCCCTCGGCTTTTATTACCACTAATTATTTATTTAAGCTCAGTTTTTAAACCCTTAGGATGTAGCTACAGCCCAGCCCATGCAGCAGTATATGAATGACTAACCTCGTATTGTGGATGGATTATCTCAGTTGTTCTCCTGGCTGAAGTTTACAGCATCCTGCCATGCGATTACATTTGTTCCTGACCACCGAGAACACTCACGTTAACTTTTATCGAGTGGAAAAAAAGTTAGCGTGTTTATATTATGCTAACATAGCTGTGTCGCTAGCGGTCACGTAGCAAATCATTATATACCAGCTAGCCCAACTTCAGTAACCCTACAAACGTCACTGCTGTTTAGTTTTCTGTCTTCATTTATGCTGGAAGTGATAACAGAGCTGTACGTTTTAATTTGTTTCCAAAACCCCGCAGTCAGGACATGCTATATTGTATTTAGATAGAAGCTAGCGAGCTAACTCCCTGCTAACTTCTAACTCCGTTAAATGTCATAAATTCCGTTTTCATGGATGCCTGGATGTTAAACTCAATTGTTACACCTGGTAGAGCAGAACGCTGATCATTTTATTAAAGATGAAAGACTTTAGACAGTTTTTAACTCTCAGTAATGCCACAGTGATCGTTTGATATATGGACCTGCAGCGCAGTTTAGACCCAGACACGGCTAGTGACGTCAGACTTTACGACCGGATATCCAGGAAGATGGATGGTTGTTGCGTTTACCGTCACATGAAAAGCAGTGTTGTCATTTTTCCCTTAGGTCAGCAAGATCACAGGAATGACCTGAGCCATCCCATCCATGCTGACAACTGCTTGTTGGACCCTGATGCCAATGAGTGCTGGAAGGAACCTCCAGCTTACACAAACAGAGACTACAGGTACGAGGTTTATCCAGACTAAAGTGTTTGTGAGGTTTGTTTTATACTGTGAGACGTTCCTGTTTCAATGTCCTTCTTTGTTTCAGTGCACTGTTATATCTAAATGCCGACTTTGAAGGAGGGGAGTTCATATTTACAGAAATGGATGCCAAAACCGTCACGGTGAGAAGTTTGCCCAGCAAAGATGATTTCATAGCTTTTATTTGTTTTGCTTCCAAACACGTTTTCTTGTAAGTTTGTGTTAAATGTTCTTGAGCAGTAGTTCTTCAGGCTGCTTTGTCACTAGTTTTCAGAGGAATGTTTTTTTGTTTAAGCCATTTAACACATTAATCATTCAAAGACAACCTGGCAAGGAACTCATTTTAAATTGAAACCAGCCAAAGGACACATTGTTGCCCTTTTTTTTTCAGCTGAGTCTAAAATGCTAACATAGTCTGACAAGCATGAGTATTTTTGCACCAACAAGGTGTTTCACAGAGTTGATGGCTGGAAAGCTGGAATATCCCAGCATGGTGTGCAGGATCTGGACCGTTGGAAACCCAAAAACTCATGAACATAATATTTACTTTAAAATCCTAATAATGTGTGAAGTTGATGATTTTTAAGTGTCACGGTTTATCTTCAGCTTTGTGCTCACATCACAAGATCATCGTAGCCTCACATCTGTCCTTCTGTCGTCCCCTTCAGGCATCAGTGAAACCAAAGTGTGGCAGAATGGTAGGTTTCTCATCAGGAGGGGAAAATCCACACGGCGTGAAGGCCGTTACGAGTGGACAGAGGTGTGCTGTGGCTCTCTGGTTCACCCTGAACCCACTCTACAGAGAACTGGTAAAATGTAGCTTCTTTGTCTACATCTGCTGTTGGAGTGTCTAGTTACCGTCTTTGCAGAATAAACTGAGAGAAGTAACTGGTTACACTGTAACAGTGTCACATTGTTACTCAGTTGGTAGAATAAAAACTACCTTAGTTTCTAATGGAGGACGCTGTCAGAGGATTCAGTGCTGGACACTTTGTTTCGTGCACTTTGTTGTCGTTCTATCAAGAAAAGGTTCAGGTGTTCTGTCGATATGTCAGGACCTCTTAAGAGGCAGGAGTCATGTGCCAGTGATCACTGTGTACTTAATTACATGCTGCTGTATTAAAGTCTCAACAGTAGAACAACTTATTATGAAAAGTAATCCTGTGTGATACTGGTTATACTGGTAGAAATCACTGGGACCGTTTGGAAGGGAAGAATGTTTTAACCAAAAATGTACAAACACAAAAAAATCTCACCGAATTTGTGCTGTTTAATAAATGTGTTGGACAAACTGTTTCCTGCTACAGGAGCGACTGCAGGCGGACGAGGTGGTCCAGGCCCTGGACACGCAGCATGTGTTCGGTCAAGGTCTCAACATCAACCCCAAAGATGAGTTGTAGAAACGTCAGAATGGCGCCACCTTCTTCAGTCAAACACTTGTATATGTTATTTATTGAATGACCTCTGGATCAGAACATTTCTATTTTTCTACTGTTTTGGAAGTGCAAGGTCAATGTCGTTTTGTGTTATTTTGATTTTTCCTCCTGCTTCTCGTTCAACCTTGAGTTTACATTTTGGTTCTTGGGCGTTCGATCCAATCACAGCCTCCGTGTGTTTGGAGCGACACGATGTCGTCAGCTTGTATCTGTAATCTCACTCAACTGTGAAGTTTCACTGCTTTGGTCAACAGACTTAAACACCAACATTTTCACTGTATGTTCATATATTAACTTGTGTCTTCACAAATGGTACAGGCAAGTATGATATTAAGCACATTATCCCTTTTTATTAGTTTGTATTTCTATGACTGTAATATATTTTTAAATACGCGGTGCACTGTTGTTTTCTCAGAGTCTAAAATGAGACTCATCTGAATAATTAGTGTCTTGTTGAATATTTAAGTGAAACGGGAAACATCTTTAGTCAGTTTAGTTCATTAGTTGTAATAAATCACTCTGCACAACACTGCCTAAGATGCTCACTGACACGAGGACAGAGTGTGTTTGGTTTTTCATTGTGTTTGTCTTGTAATGACAGCTGCTGGCTACATTTAATATAAGAAACTTTTTTTCATAAAAGATGCCAATTATTCCTGTTTCAAGGAATACGTGTTGAATAACGGTCTTTTATTACTTTGTGTGGTTGGTCCAGAACGGTCGAGTCGTGCACTGGAGATCAGGTGGAGAAGAAAAATAAATAAGAGTAACTTGGCTTTTCTACGTGGGTTCAAAATGTTTTACTGTTTAATTCTGAAATGCTGAAGAACACATGTATGCGTACATGCCTATAAAGTAAAAATATTTCACGTGTTTTGTGTCCCTATTGTTTTGTGTGTAATTACGTATAGCAACTAACAATACTATTTATCAGAAAACGTATTTATGTAACCAAACTCTCAGAGAAAAGACAGATGATAGGAAAAAGGTCATTTTTATTCAGGATTACATCGCAGCGCTTTGTCAGGAGCTCCGCCCATACTCACAACTTGTGCAAGCATTTACTCAAACCATGCCACACCTGTATTTCCTGTTATTCAGTTATTTACAGAGGAGAGGTCACTGTGGTACTTTTACAAATGTACTCAAGCTCAAAAATGACGAACAAGAAACTCCACCAGGGCCCTGCTACAGAAACCAGGGTCAGTAAACTCTGAGCTTGTGCTCAGAACTGATCAGAGTCAAACACACGAGTAGACAAACAGCAGAGCTGTGATGTCATGGTTCACCATAGCGGGGGACCCAGCCACGCATCCACCCACCCGCCCATCCAGTGGACTGAGTCATATTTATCGTAAAAAAGAAAAGAGGTGGACAGAAAAGTGTCATTGAGATATTTAGCAAACAGCTGCCTTACTGACCACAGAGTCAGCATGTTACAGACATGTAGCCAACAGATTTTGAGTTGTTAATAAATCTACAGTGTGTGCTGATCACATCCATGATCCAAGGCTGGTTGATTCTGAAAGCACTCGTGTTAAATGCACCACTAAACTAAACCTGGGGTTTCATGTGCATGTTAATGCATTCTGCTACACACTTTGATATTAACCCTATCAATGAGGAAATGGAACAGTGTGTCGGGGGGAGTCAGAGTTTCAGTTAACCCTTTTTCTGGAACAAATAACCTGGATTTCGCTCATCTCGTGTTTAACAAACTTGGGAGTTTATACCTGCTTTCTGTAACGAGCCCGAGTCCTTAGTTTGACTTTGTGGGGACCCTGATTAGAGGTAACGTGGCTTTGGTCGACGGGCCGGGTTGGTTCGGCTCAGAAGCGGTAGGCCAGCTGTTCAGTGACTCTGAACGGTTTGCTTTCACTGGCGGTGCACATCAAGTCCCTCATGCGCCGCGCACGCCGCTCCTCTAACACCAGCCTGCGGGAGTGCTCTCGGGCCGCCTGCTGCTCCGCTCGCTTCTCCGTCCGCTTTCGCTTCAGCCACCTGAGGGAGGAAAAAGGTATCTGTCAGTCAGCTGATACTTCCAGCACGCTTTCAGAATATTTGCCCTTTGTAGCCAGATGAGGGCTGCATCATTAGCCTGCTTTTTATTATTAATATTGTCTAAATGTAACTTTACTCCTGACAGGATATAAATCAACGAACCAAAATTCAACCTGTAAATCTTTAACTTCACCTTAGAGCAGAAACAAGCGGTGACAGACGTGATTGTCTCTACTCTTACGTGTGCCAGGAAGTCATCATATGAAACTTTCTGCAGGTTACGAAGTTTAAAAGCAGACGTACAGTTTGAAAGCCTCGTCGCACTCCTCACGGCTGTGTAACAGGTACCCACTGTCCTCCTCCAGCCTCTTGAACTCCACCAGCTGCCTCTCCTTGTGCTGCTGCTCCTGCTTCCTCTGAAGCCATGACCTGAAGGCCTCCTCCGGGTCCGGGTTGGAGTCTCTCTAACGGGGGACGCAGAAGCAGCGTATTACCATCCTCAGTCGGGTCACTTTTACCGGACACTTTCTTTGTATTGCATCAAAGTTTAAGACACGGAAAGTGTTGGGGGGAAAGTGGTCCTCGTGTAGCGACTGTGTTATGAGCTTACTGTGCCCCCGTGTGGCCATACTTGACAATTCATTCTCTCGATTTCCTGGGCTCTGTGGATCCTTCTCTCCTCCTGAAGCTGCTCTTTCTTCCTCATCAGCCAGGCTTTGAAGGCCAGCTCGTTCTCCTGCCTCTTCAGCTCTTCTTCCTCACGCCTCCTCTGTTCTGCCTGAGAAACATAATAACTGTGAAGAAATGTAGCAACCATAGCCAGACCTTTTTTTGAAATGACCTAATTCGCTGCATTTCCTACCTCTCTGGCCAGCCTCTGCTTCCTCTCCTGGATCTTCTGCAGCTGCTCTTTCTGCTGTGGGGTCAGGGTGTACGTGGCCTGGCTGGGTGTCTCCGTGGCAGACTGCACCCGCCTCTTGCTGCTTTTCCTCTGGCTGCCTCTCTGACTCTGGCTGGCTGAGCTAGGCCTGCTCTTTGGTTGTGCTGGAGGTCTGGGGGCCCGAAGGTGATCTATTGCCTGTGGAAACAAGGAGGAGGCAGCCCGAAGGCGAGGAGAAGTGGAGGAACTGTGGATCTTAACAGAGTTTACATTTTGCTCCTGAACACGAGGCGAGGAGCGTGAACTGTCACTGAAGTTGTTCGCTAAAGGAGGGAAAAGGGCTTGACTCTCCACCTCTTTTAGGCTGACCAGGTCAAACTTCCCGTCCTTCTCCACAAGGACTCTGCCCTCCTTCATCCCCTGGCCTCCCTCGCTGCTCTCCCCAGCCCTGCCAGAACCTCCTTCAGAACTCCTGCTTTCATTGCGAGGTGAAATCTTTAGCTCGGACAGCTTTCCCGACACTTCAGTATCTGCCGGTGCATCCTCAGCTCTTTCCTTGCTCCCATTTTCCCCCTCTACTTCATCGCTGCTGCCATCTCTCTCAAACTGCAGCGGAGGCACCACCAGGTCCACCAATGTCTCTTTAAAATGCAACCGCCTCCGTCGTGTCATATCTGGCACTTCCTGATCCTGCAGCTCCCGGTTAGCCTGCTGGATCTTCTCGAGGATGTACTTCTTCTCCTCGTCTGTTTGGTCATCCATCCCTGGAGGAGGTGGGGCTGTAGGTGATGACTTACTGGGACTGTCCCTGTCTGAGTCATACTCCAATGGTTCCATAGGAGATGGCCACCTCTCTTCATCTTCTTCCAGTTGCTCTGTTTTGTTGTCTCGCTTTGTTTCCTTGTAGTTATTCTCCTTTCCTTTCATTCCCTGTCGTTTCTCACCCTCCTCCAGTTCTTTGTCAATGTCTGCCTCTATGTCCTCATAGTCAGAGCCCTGTGGGGGATAAGACAGACGTACTCTGCATGCATTAATTAAGTCTGCATGTAAATGAAGGTGCAACATCAATACTGAGCAACAGATAACAGGTATGTTTTATTTTGCTCATCAATATTGCATCCAGCAGTGGAACAGTGAAAGTATGCCGCTGCATTTCAGCAGCATAGGTTTCACATCCAAACTTGGTGTGCCAGGTCTGGTAACTCAACACTGCTCGCTGTCACACTTTCACAGAGCAGGCTCAGGTATACACACCTCATTCAGCCTGCAGCAAGTAGAGCAGCATTCAGATATATACTGCATGCTAAAAAGGAAAGAAAGATTAGAAAGACGAGATGCAGGAGATGTAATGTCAGACCTACCTGGTCCCCGCTCCGGCCTTCCTCACTGATCAGCCAGTCCAGATCTTTCTCAAAGTCGTCCTCGTACTCCTCCTGAGTCTTTGTGCAAACTGTTTCACTCATCATCTACCACCGAACTGAAAGAGGGGACGGAAGGATGTGACGTAATGCTTATAAAAGTTTTTCTCCCTGCACACACTCACACTGTAGCACCCAAAGAAAGTGAAGTCAAGCCTGAGACAGCAAAGTGACGATGCGATCATCGCTGTAGACCGTGGAGATCACCTGTGCAGCCCAACAACACCTCAGGTTTAAAATCAATTCAATTCAATTCAATTTTATTTATATAGCGCCAAATCACAACATAAGTCGCCTCAAGGCGCTTCATAATCACTGATGATTATTTTCTGCTCACTGTTTTCTGTGAGAGGGTGACTTGGCTTCAAGAGAAAAGTAGCTGTTTTATATTATTCATTGAAGTCTAATAAGTACAGATCACAGTGCAGAAAACACCCTGCAGGATACATCTGGGATTACACGGGGAGCATCTTTCCTGTAGAGTAAAACGTGCATTGTTCTCAAACTTGAGGCTTAAATTTCCCTTGATTTAAATCTTAGTATCTGACCTGCTGTTTATGATGCTGCATTTGTGTGGATTGTGTTGTTATATTGTTTTTATCTGCTGGTTGTGTTCTCGGGTTTCTCTTGTAGTGTAATCACAGAGAGGCTGCCACCAACAGGTTGGATGATTTCTTGACTGGTGCTTAATACATGAGACAAAAAGTGCATAATCATAGTCTTCCTCATTAAATACATTATTTGTGGTGATCACACAGAAACCTGAATAAATCCAGTGTCCCTCTATAATATGTGCTGTTTATTTTATGCCGAAATATAACAGTAAAGGTCAGAAAACAAAGGAGGTACATATCAGCACAGATAACCTTATTTACCCAAGTGTAGGAACATGACATCCAGCCAATGATGGCTGATGTCCAACGACCTGGGCACCACTAACAGCTCGTTAACATTAAGTATAAAGAATAATGCAAAGATCAGCACATAGAGGCAGACCGGCGTTATTCACAGCGGGCCTGTGCTTTAAGAAAACTAACAACAGACAATCCAAAAGAAATATGTTTCTGTGTTGCAGCGTTTGTGAGCACCTGTATTTGCCATGTTATGGTAAAAACTCCATCACAGCCACTTTTAAGTGGGTTCATTTATATGTTAGGCATAAATCTGTAGCAGGGCTTTGTGCCCATCTCATGTATTAGATCAAAGTTGAATAGCTGTCAAAATCTACAATTCTTTTTGGCTTTAATACCTATATAATATCCCTCACTTGCTAACATCTATAGATTTATACGCGCTTTTGATTCAGTGCATGTGTGTTTGGGTCACAGCCGCTTCCACCAGGCAGCTTAAAACACAGAAACAGAGTCGAGTGGTCTTTAGCTTTTACTTTATTTGTTTCAATCGCTTTATAGCGTATAGAGGGCAGGCTGAGAGCAGACTGGACCCAGTCGGATTACATCGATCGGTTTTAAAGCAGCAGTGTAAAATGTGACAACAGTGATGTTAAACTCACCAGCAGCAGCTCTTCCTGTTTCAGTAAAACAACAAATCGACCGTCTAACTGGCCTGCGTAGTCCCAGCCGGCCTGTGGAGCAACACCTGTGCACATAATCTGCTTCAAGCCTCTCCACGGCCCCTAAAAGGTTTAATAGACACGTCGTCATAGAGACCAGCAACACGCTTTACACATGCGCATGCGCACGCCACCTGCTAAACGCATTCACAAAAAAGAAAATCTCCATGAACACAGCGTAAACATGAGGGAAAAGCCAGGAGGTGTTCAAAGACCGTAAATATTTAATAAAGTGAAGTTATTAAATGAGTTATCTGTTCCTCCAGGCTGAGGTCGATTAAATTTAAAGCACTATAGATAAACTGGGTCCTTTTGTGCGAGTCTTATTGCACATTTTTATGACTAAACAAAACTAAAGCGCACATTTGAGCCAGGATAGGCTGCACTTAGAAGATTGTCTCTTTATCTACGGTGAGAATAAAAAAACAAACCAATTCCAAAAATGTCAGGACGACGTGTAAAATGTAAACAAAACCAGAATACGAAGAGTTTAAACACCGATATGTTTTCTGTGTTATGTTCTGAATAAAACTTGGGTTTGTGAGATTCGCGAGTCTTTGCATTACGTTTTTATTTGCATTTTATACGTCGTGACATTTTTTTTAAATCTAATTTTGGGTTTTATTAAAGAATAAAAAAGGCAGGCAAGTAAAACAAAATCAGGCAACAGATGAAAGATTAAAAAGTGTCAAGAGGGCAGAGAAAAAAGAAAATTTACAAGGAAGTCATTTATCTCCAACCACCTCTCTGATAAGAAGTATGTGTACAACACATCAGTGTAAATGGTTAGCACAGGTTAAAGTAAGTAACTCTAGACTTTCACCCCAAAGTAGTTTAAAAAACTTGGAAGTTATACTTTTGCATGCTCTCATTTGTTTATAACAAGCCTTGTGATTAAAGGGTGAACCTTTGCAAAGATGTTTCTCAAAAATGAAACAACTGAAAGGAGCCTTCAGCAGGAAGTGTTGTGGCAGCAATGCTGCAGATGCTGGTGAATGATTCAGGACTTTATAAAAACGAACACATTATATGATGTGTTTACTTTTCAAAAGTAAATTTCGTATTTCTTTATGTATGAGTCAATAAAAAAAACACTCGTGGATGATTAGAATCAGCAACAGTGCACACTACGTGGGTACAAGTTTCTGCCTCTTTGCAGCAAGAGAGCTCGATTTTATCAAGCTAGCAACTGGATATATATACTTAATAATAATGTCACAGTATTAAGCATTAGTAAGGTATTAGTAAGTGTTTAATTCATCATTTCTACATCATTACCCAGTATGTCATTTATAAATACAGATATGTTTATCTCTCTGTTACTGTTACACCCTGTATGACTATATTTTAATCATAATCGTCGTCATCACCGTATTCCCACTTTGAATATGTATTTTATTTTATTTATTACCTTCCTTTATCTTCCCCATGCCTCTGCCTTGTCTCCACCCTTCCCCTAACATTTTTCCATCTACCCCAGCCTTCATCCATCCCATCTCTTTACCTCTTATCTGTCCACCTCCTCATAACCCCTGTTTTTTCTTTATCGCCCCCACCCTCTTTATTACCTTTCTACCTTTCCTGTGTCACTGTCAGACCCTTTCTTTTCCCGTTTACTCCCAACTGCCTCTTCTTTAAGTGCGGAGAAACACTGAAGCTCCACAGAACTGACCACCTCCAACAGTGCAGCTCAGTGTGTCAAAACCCTGAACACAAACTTTACACTAATCCGAAACTCTTTCGTTGTTACAGATAATGATAAAAAGGTATAAGAAGGGAAGCCATAGAGCCTGGGGATTTTACATCCAGAAATGTTGTATAAAACCAGACACGTTATAATTAAAAAATACTGAAGAAGAAGATATGATAGCGAGTCTGTACGCACAATGCCAGGACGATCAAACCAGTTCAGATGGATGAAAAAATCATTACTTGTTATACTTTTTTCTTTTTCTTGATAAGAAAAGCGGGGATCCAGAGCAGAGATTTGTAATAGTTTTAAATCAGTTTGATCTTATGTTTGTAGGAGCAGTGAAACTTCTGTCAGTGTGAAAATGTTTAACAACACATTTATTCCTGCATTTATCCTAATATAAGAAAAAGAAGTGCTATTTGAACAATATGTCTTTTTTGCACACGATAAACAAATGCTGCTATCAGCATGGCTCTCTGGGCTTAAATTGTAAGAAATTACTCAATTACAGAAAGTTCTGGTAGCTCATTGGCCAGGTGGTGCTGTAATTATTAAACACAAAGTTTTTGCTAATTTTCAGAAGCATCCACTTTTAAAATAAAGAAATAATTATAAATATATATAAATATTTCTATAGTAGATGGTCCAAAAAATGTTTTTTCCCCATCTTTTTCTTAATTACTTTGGTGTAGTTTGAATGGCCATGGTGGTGTTTGTCAGTAGAAAAAGCTGTTAAACTTATGAAAGTACAGTTAGAAGTCCAAACTGCCTCCCATCACATTTTCCAAAGACATCCAGTGGGCCATACTGGAGTTTGTGGTGGGCCTATTCTGGCCCTTGGGCCCTATGTTTGACACCCCAAGCTAGCGTGACTTTTCGTGTAACGTTTGAATTACACGTCACATTCCAGCTCACATTTGGTGCTTTTCTCAGATTTCTCACATTGACAGATGGCTGTACAGTGACAGGGAATCAGCTTGTTTTATATTTCGACTCACTGATAAAGAGTGGTGCCTGATTTACAATTCTGCTGCAATTCTAAGTCATAACTTATGAAGTAAGCACAAACTCCTTTTAACGCTCCCCGATAAACTTCCATGTAACCGGATGTGCACCTCCCAGGATATGTAACATGTAGCCCGCAATGACCGCAATGTAGGAGGTTGCAGCGTTAGGGTTAAATGGGGTTTCCGGTTACGTCGTCGAAGTTAAGACGAAGATTTCCCGCAGAAGTCTAAAAAATCAATCAATGTTATGAACAATCGTATGAGAAACAGAGGTCCTTAAATGCGTCCCCAAACAGAGAAGTCTTTGAAGTCTTTGAATGCAACGTTTGTGTGGCGCACTGAACTCTGGGTCTTGGAGTTTTGTGTAGGCATGAATCATTCTGAGCCCCGCACCGCGATAATGGAGAACGACATTTCCCATGTTGCGTTTATCTCCTTTGACAAACCACGCCCCTTCATCTAAGACATGCCTGATATCACGTAGGTGAAACTTCTGACACAGTTTTAAGTTGGTGGTGAGAACACAGTGACAGGCCGGACACACGGACAGAGAATCGTGTCTTGTCCACAGATGGCCACCATCGTCTTTTACTCGGTGAACAAAACGGCTCACAGCGCCGCGAGACGATGTTTAACTTCTCCGTTAAAGGGGCTCGCTAGTGCCGGAGAGTCCGTTTCGCGGCTAGCCTCCACTCACAGTCGGTCAGTGCCTTTGCTTCCGGGAACGAGATGGTTTTCGAGGGGTACCGGCGTGAGGTTCATGTCCCATGGGACCGCAGGCAGGTCCGGGAATACCAGGAGGGGAGCCCTGGCGCTCAGCGGAGCCGCAGCAGTAACAGCGGCGGCGGCCGTAGCGGGGTTTCTAGCTAACACTGACCACTTCCAGCGCGCAGAGATGGCAACGAGGGTCCCCCGAGCCGCAAAGGAGACGGGGGAAGAAGCGGACATTCTTCAGAGGTGCCGGGGCTTCATGTCTCCGCCGGTGACTGACATTAGTGTGCTGCAGGGGAACAAGGACGAGATGCGTACGAAGATGGAGATGCTGATCATGGAGACTCAGGCCGACTTCTGCAAAGCCCTGGAGAAAGTGGACGGTGGGACGTTCAGGGTTGACCGGTGGAAGAGGAAGGAAGGTGAGGCGCTTCTGCCTGACATAAAATATCCACGTACAGCGTAACAGAGTGTAACGTGATTATATTTGCTTAAAGAAAAACCAAAAGTAAACGGACTGTGTCTGTGTCAGGTGGTGGAGGCATCAGCTGTGTGATGCAGGACGGAAAGGTGTTTGAGAAGGCGGGTGTTAATGTGTCGGTGGTGTTTGGGAACCTGACAGAGGAGGCGGCGAAGCAGATGAGGAGCAGAGGAAAGGTCCTCAAAGGGAAAGATGGTGAGTTTTGACTACTGCGATTTGTGTTCTTGAACACAGCGGTTTAAACTGTAATATTGCTATCTTTATTTTTCCCAGGTAAACTGCCATTTGTTGCCATGGGAGTAAGCTCCGTTATTCACCCCAAAAACCCCCATATTCCCACTGTGCACTTCAACTACAGATACTTTGAGATTGAGGAGGAAGATGGTAAGCATTAGGCCTTCATCACATCAGCAGTTGGCTCTCAGTGTCAGTGACACAGCTGAGTGTGGAGTGAATGATAACCCTTGTTTCCTTCTTCCTTGTTCCAGGCACTAAGCAGTGGTGGTTCGGTGGAGGCACAGACCTGACCCCGGTGTATATAGATAAGGAAGATGCCTTTCATTTCCACAAAACCCTGAAGGAGGCCTGTGACAAGCACCACCCACAGTACTACCCCGACTTTAAGAAATGGTACGGTTTGGTTAGCCCCACGCTCGTCCCCTGCACTTGCACGTGCGTCCTTCAGCACGTACGCTGTGTGTGGATTTGCACTGGGTGTATCCCCACTGTGGAGTTATGATAAGAGGAAGTCTTTGCCTAAAATCTGCAGTTGCAGAAAAACCGTTGAAGCAAGACGTTAGTCAGGGATTGACTTCAGTGGGAAAAGATGGGTGTGGTTTATCTGATGTTTGCTGTATGAGGTAAAATTTTACATTTAAGGAATAATGTGATGTTTTCATAAATATGCCTTTCCTCTTACAGAGACGATTGGCACCCCTCTCATCCACTAAATGTAGCACAGTTTACTGTCTCTACAGACATGCTTTCAGTCGACTTGCTGTTAATTCATTTAGAGCCCATTTGGAGCTTTGATACCTTTACTGACGTTTGATGATTTAAAAGTCTGATATATTGGTCGATATTTTTCTTTTTCTCTCAGGAAAAATGGAACATAAACACAATTCATATTTATTTTTAATCCTCACTAAGATATTACTGCTGTTTTGTTGAATCTGCTGAGTTGGTGTGTTTGTGGTGGTCCAAGCAACAGAGAAGTTGCAGAGCTCCCTCTGGTGGACAAACTGGAACATCACTGCTCATAACGTGGTTGAGAGGACATTTTCTCTTTTTTTTAAACGTTTTATTTTACTTTCTAAATTTTCATTACTCGGTCATTATAAATACTGATATCAACATACAGGCAAATCTGTCTTTCAGACTTCATTTGTCGTATGTCATATATTTGGATATTTATTTGGCCCTGCTTCTGTCTCAGTATATGTTACTGCATGTTGCCCAGGTGTGACAGGTACTTCTACGTCCGCCACAGAGGAGAGACCCGCGGTATAGGAGGAATCTTCTTTGACGACCTGGACTCCCCGAATCAGGAGGAAGTGTTCAGCTTCGTCAAGAGCTGCGCCCGCACGGTGGTGCCCTGCTATCTGCCCATCGTGTACAAACATCTCAGTGACTCTTTTTCTGATGAGGAGAAGGACTGGCAGCAGGTTCGACGAGGCCGGTGAGTAGCACCAAACGGTAAATAAGAGAGAACCCATCTGATCAGTCTGATTTTCAGATCTTTGTGGAAGTCTACAAACAAGACTTCTGAGGTCTTCAACAAAGAGCTGTTCATGCTCGTCTTGGATTTTGCACAAATAATAAAATTCACACATCAACACAGTGACCCTAGACACACAAGTCTTTGTATCATAGAGGAGTCGAAGAAGACTAAAGGGACCGTTTTGAAGTCAGAGTGAGCGTCCTGACACGCAGAAATGTTGCAGAAGAACCTGCAGTGAGCACGTCATGCAAGGAAACGCAGACGTCCCAGAGGTGATGCTGTGCTTTGCAGAGGAAGAAGCTACAGGTCGGATCGACACAAAGCTTTAGTTACAGTTACTGCTGCAGGAGGGATCCACACTAGACACCGAAACAAAGCTTCACTTATTTTTGCACCTTTGCTCATTTTCTACAACAAGTGAAACATCAAAGTTTGATATTATTTTTATTCAGATTTTCCTTTAAGAATATTTGAGCTCAAATAAACACAAAATTATAAAGGGTTCACAGACCAGCTGATCCAAGTCAGTCCGTCCTGTTTTTCAGGCCACACGCTTGCAGTGACTGCCAGTCTCAGGTTTAGTCTTCCTTCACTTGTGTGATTGAGCTCTGGCTGCAGTGTGGTCTGAAGCTGGAGTGGATCCTGGCAGGGAGTCGCTAACAACACAGAGACTGACTTAAAGGGCGAGTTTGAGAGGGAAGTACATAGCAAGCTGGAAACCAGTAGAGTGATTAGACTGTTCAGATTAGCTCAGTGTGGTATGTGTTGGCACAAGCACCTCACAAAACTTGTGACATGACGTAATTCAGCTCATAACTTTCGCACGTCGGGGCAGTATGCGTCACGTGACAGAGCGGCTGTGGCGTGCGAGGCCTGTCGGCAGTCTGGTTCAGCATTTGCTGCCTCGCTACCAACCCGGCATTTCATCTCCGAGGAAGTTATCCCAGAGAAGTAAAGCAAAGGGGCGGATCTAGCAAAGTTTAGCCAGGGGGGGCGATAGGGCATGAACAGGGAAAAGGGGGCACAAAGACATACTTTTCTTTCTTATTCTCATTTAAAATGTCGAGCTTTTAATAAAAAAATGATCTGAATCTTACACCCAAAGTTTTAATCTGATGTATAGAAGTCCATTACTCTATATAGTAACTGTTAAGTCTAATATACCCTAGTAAGCTGTAGTACTTTTTCCTTTGGGAACCATCTGTGCAGTCTGCAGCTCTGTTGAAGGAAGATGTTGAATCTCTTTAATATTTCTTGAAAAATAATTGATTTCTGTGCATTTTTTTTTTTTACACACATGAAATGAAAGTTGATTACGTCGATTAAGCATCACGAAGCGGAGGGTGGGGGGTGGTTCCCTATTTATTTATTTTTTGTGGGGCGTTTGCAACCCTATTAGTCAGGTTGCTTAATATTTCTGCTAAGTACTCTTTAAAATACCAGAATAGGGAGGATGGAGCAGGTTTACGTTTATTAGATTGATCAGTGTTGCTGAACTATGAAATAGTTTTTACACACAGGTTCAACAGAACAGCTTTAGTGTATGTTTGTTTAAACTTGAGTATGAACTTATACAAAATGCAGCAAGATATTAATAAAACAGTCGTACTGATTCAAACACTATCGGATTCATGTCGGTATCGGCAGATATCCAAATTTATGATATCGTATCGGACATTAAAAAGTGGTATCGTGCCATCTCTACCACAAACCTGTCACAGTAACAAAGAAAACAAAATGAATAAATACGCATTACAATATTATTCCTGTGAAAGTAAACCCAGAGCATGGGCTGCCTTGGTTTGTTCTTATGTGTTTTCATACAGCACCTGATCACCTTAAACAATGAACAGGAAGTTGAGCCTACAGTGAGGATGTGTTGCTCTGCAGGTATGTGGAGTTTAACCTGGTGTACGACAGGGGAGTGAAGTTTGGCCTGGCCACGCCCGGCTCAAGAATCGAGAGCATCCTCATGTCCCTCCCACTCACCGCAAGGTAAGCTGCTGCCTCTTCAAAGCACTGTTTGCACCTCGCTTGTGTCGACCGCAGGCTGCCCGCGTCGCATGGTAACAGAATCACTCGTCATCCTCAGGTGGGAGTACATGCACGAGCCTGCCAAAGGCACCCGGGAGGCTGAGATGCTGGATGCGTTACGAAACCCCAAAGACTGGGTGTGACCGGAGCGCCCCGGGTTTGGACGTCAGTATAGACAAAAACATCTATTTTATAAAGCTGGCTGATCGACCAGCTGGGCAACATTTAACCCTGCTTTTATAATATGGAGCTGCGCTGTAGATGTCTGAAGAGCTTTTTCATTTTGTCAAACGAGCCGTGGTAAAACGGACCCTGAATAATGTCAAACTCAGTTCATGAGCTTGGTGCCATTGCTTGCTGCAAGACCAAATAATGTGACTTAATGGGCGACCTCCTTTTCAGGTCAGCTGCACTTCCGTTGTGCTCCTTTAAACGTGTGTGTTTTGTTCTATGACCAGCTAAATGTGGCTCGCTCTGCTCAAAGCCGTCCTCTGCTCGCTTTCAACAAACACTGTGTCAGCTCTGCCATCTAATGTTAATAGAAGCTGGTTTCAATGTCCACAATGATGACTGTTTCTGCCACAAAATGAATAAATGGATATTCGCCACTCTCTGCTGAGGCCCATTCACTTTGTGCTGGTCTTTGATTTGTGGTTAATGAATCACTTTATGGTTTGTTTGAACAGCAGTAAACAATCTCTGACCCACAGAGGACGAGTGTGAGTCACAGGCCAGGTGGAAACAAGAATCTGTCTTATCTACAGTTTCTTCTGTTCCTTTAAAATAAAGTGAAGCTCACACTGGATACATCTGTATGCTTGGTAAGAATCTCACTTTGTGAGCGCCTGGAAAACCACCAGGCGATGAATAATTTGTCCCTTTGTGAGTGATGATGGTAACAGTGCGGGGGGGCAACAAGTGCTCACCCAAACAAACTGAACATGTTCTCGAGACGCTGAAAGATTCATGCAGCGAGTTTTAAATATTTTATTACAAATTAATTCAAGCTTTTGCACAAGTGAAAGATTTATAACAAGCTCCTTACTTTTAGTGTTATGTAACGTGTTTTTCCTCGATAAGGCTTTGTAAAAACAGGGTTCGGTTAAGTAACGGTACAACAAGTGGCCGAACCAAAATTGCTACCTCTACCAGCACGAGTCAGCTCAGTGTCGCAGCGAGTGCTGAGGCTCAAAGGTCACGCTGCAAACGTTCAGTGCTCTGCTGCGTGACAGTGATCAGCATTAGTGACGACATATTTGGCTTTAGTGTATGCAGCAGCAGCAGCGTTTCATATAGACCGAGCACTCTGAGGATTACAACGTCAGTGTTACTGCTGAGTGACACAGCAAACGTGAAACAGACTGTCCTACTTTCCATGAAACAGCTCATTCGGAGCTTCGCCCCTTCATTATTCACAACCGACTGTCCTACGGTTACATCAGCACCGGTGCAGTCACTGGCCTTTAAGCTTTAAAAAATGCCTCCCCGTAATGTTTGCACACAGATACACGGTTACATAGATACATTACTCATGCTAAACATAGACTTTATCCACGGTGACTGTAAATACAGAAGCTTCCCCTGACAACCCGTCTCTGCTGCTTTCTGCCCCACATTTATGTGCAAGTCAGTAACTGTAGCACAGCTGCAGCTTCACATCCAGGAGGTCCGTTTGGGAAGGAGGGCGTTCCACAGTTAAAGCAGCTGTCAGAGGCCCCACTAGTGTTCATGGGCCAGTGAGTCCTGACCATTAAATCAAATTAGACAGTACGGAGACACCTAACCTCACGAGGACAGCATGAACTACAGGCGTTACCAAAATATAAGCAGGTAATGACGCATAACTGCCCTCCTTCCCTTAACCCTTTGTGTTTACTAAAGATGGACCAATGCTTTGGTTTGGCGTGTCACCTCATGGTTTAAGGCATATTAACTGAGTCATTTCTGTAACTGGGAGACACCTGCTGCTGCTGCCTATCTTGGCCAGGTTTCCCTTGAAAAAGAGGTTTTTAATCTCAGTGGGATCTTCCTGGTTAAATAAAGGTTAAATTAAAAATATATATATTATGCCTTGACATCTGTTTACTGTTTACAGGTAAAACCCTCATTGGAGCCACATGCAGGCTCCCGGCCCACCACGAGAGACCGGCTGGTGAATAATGTCCTTTCTCAAAAGTCTGCGTTATGTTCACTTATGATCGAGTCACACACGGCAAATGTACAACCACAAACTTGTGGATGAAGTATTTTTGACAAGGACGTATTCAAAGATGAAAAACAAATGATGTGACGCCGCCCACTCTGGTCTCAAACTGGCATCAGCCGGTACCGAGCGCCACTAAAGCATTGGTCTCACACCTGTGATACAAACCCTGTTTGTGAATCTGTAGCTGTGACACAGCGTGAGGAGAAGCAGCAGCGCGGTATTGCACCATCACTCGTTCCTTCAACGGTTAGTGCAACTTCTGTTCCAGCACTGATGATTGCATTAGTCCACTGACCAAACAGTTATTAGTGTTTCTGTCGTGTGTGTTGGATTGCAGGGGGGGGGCTGGTGAAACCACAGCAGTAGCACTGCTAAACAATAAGTCTTAGTGTGTGTTAGGGCTTTTGTTAGGCTGCTGGTTAAAAACACGTTCACTTCCCTTGGCCCCCACTGACACTAACAGAACTGCTGTTGACTATGTCCTCATACTGTGGGGGCGGCTCCGTCTCTATTTGGACGTCCGTGTGGCCCACAGCCTCTTCGTAAGATGGCGGCGGGTCGCCGGCGCTTCCGCGCCCTGACGTAAACTCTGAGCCTGGATACGCTGGGCTGCTGTGGATGCTGAGTTCTGATTGGTCACCGTGGTATTCCCTCCCCCAGTGGTCCATAGAGACCACTGACAAGACGTTGTTGTGATGCGAGAGTCCCATGCTGGGGCTGCGCTGTGAGCGTTTGCGGGAGTGGCAGCGCCACACAGTGATTGCGACGCCGGCGATGATGACCACGACCAGCAGCAGCGGCACAATCAGGTAGAGCAAGTGGATCCCGCCCATCGCCGCCTCCGGGCCTCCAGGCGGACTGCTTTCACGCACATATTCTTCCCAGAACTGCCTCTGCACACAGAACATCCACACTGTCAATAAAACAGCCCAAACGTGCACCCCCCCCCCACTGCAAGCGCTTTTTATCCACATTACTGCAACGCAAGGAAACCGACAACAGCACCCAAACAAACAAAAAGAGACCACGTGAGCGCACACATGACCTAGCTCCAGCCTCCACACAATGCTGCACTGGGCTGTTCTTCCTGCTGATCGCAATCACTTTCTGACAAACACCCTCGTTCCGCTCTCGGCACAGGATTTCACTGCTGGACACATGAACGCCACAAAATATCACTTGTAGTTAGAGCGGCTGGCGTGGGTTACTCCCCACCGGTGATGCTGACCTGTGGGATTTAGCTGTTTTCATGTTTCAAGTTTCCCAAGTGCTTTTAAAAAGGGCGAGCAGTTTCAATTATCCAAACATCCTAGTTTTTTGGATGATCATGTTATTTTACTACCAGGGTCAAAATGATTAGCTCCCCAATGCTAACATGTGTCTTCTTCAGTGAATCTCCCAAGATCCTCCAGACTTGATCACCTTGGCCTAGATCTTCAGGCCCCCCCACAGACTGGCACTGGTGTCAGGGCTCCGTGCAGACCAGCTGTTCTTCACCAGGCATGTTTTGGGTTGTTGTCGTGTTGGAAGACAGGACCCAGATTTGCTGCTGGTTGCCTGAGGGTTTCTTTCTAAAGCTTCCTATTTCCTTCTTGCTTCGCGATTCCTTCCATCCTGAGACTCTCTGTTTAAAGTGGGCTGAAGCATTCCCACGGCATAATACTCCCACCCCCGTGTTTCACTGTGGAGCCAGCGCTCTTTGGTTGTACACCTCTCACTTCTCTCTCCAAACATAAGCATCGTCTCTGCTTTCTACTGTGGAAACTCTGTATGCTTTCTCAACTGATAGCTCAGACCCTCGCTGAAGTTTTTATACTGAGTGAAAATAGGAAAATAACCTTCAGTTTTATCCTGATTCTAGAAGCTCTGAGCATTACCAAGTTAAATCACATCATTTCCCAGCAGTGCTTTGTGCGGTGGCACGATAAAAAGGTCTATTTTTCCAGAAGGGCGAATAATACTGACCCCGGTCAAACTAATCTGAAACAGTTCTGTTATTGTGCACAAACATGCTCTGTTGAAGAAGCACCCGGGAAAGACTTTACATTTCATAGGTGGGCTAATAATTTTGTCCTCATCTATAAGAATCAGGGAAACTTTAAGCTGTTTATTTCCAGCACTCCACAAATGTGCCCCAATGGGAAATGACTTCCTGTTAAAGAAAAACGACGCGTGGTTCATGTTGGAGTTTTGATGTGCACTGTGTGATGCGACACGCCTCCTCATCCTCTCACCGTCTTCTCTTCGTTCTCAAAAGCTTCCCGGGCCTCCTCATAGGTGCAGGTCTCCTCCCGACACTCCCTCTGGATGTTACCCTGCTTTATTTCCTCCAGAAAAAAGTTGGCCCTGCGCAGCCTCCGCAGGACCGAGTGGGCCGCTTCTGCTGGCAGGAACACTGAAACGAGTGGAGGAGGGAGGAAGCAACGACAGGAGCGAGTAGGGGAAAGAAAAAAATGCATTAATCAACAAGCAGAGACAGGAAAGGAATGAAGATGACAGGAAAGTGAGGGCGAGTCAGCAAGCAGAACAGCATGGGGGAGGAATTTAGACGGCGTTGAAAGGGCGGCAAAAAGGAAAGAGATGCTGGGAAAAGAATAATGAGGAAAATGGGGAGAGGAGCGAGGTGGGGACTGAAACAAAGGCAGCCGAGCCGAGCGCTGGTCAGTGCCCACATTTCTACATAAAGACAAAAGCTCCTTTGATTTAGGCATCCGTCCCTCTGCCAAATAAAAGAAACTGGAAGAACGGACTTGAAGAGACAAGGTGGCCCTCTGTTTCTCACACCCAGAATATAAACATAAACTCCCCCAAGGAAACAGTCAGATGCCACAACATGCCCAAATTAACAAGTAACGGCTGTCTGACTCATAACTTCGGGAATGGGATCAACAAAAGGCTTAAAAGCAGAAAAAAGGACAAAGAGCAAAATCCAAACAGGAATTTCCCCCCGGACAGAATGGGAATTGTTACTGTGTCAACAAGGGGGGGGCACTGCAGTGGTTTAGTAGCATGGACAATGAGGAAAATCAACACAATGGAACAGGAAGAACAAGCGAGAGTAGGAAAAAGAGGAATCCGTGTTTCCGTCTCTGCTTGTGGGTAAACTTACCACTCCCCATGATTCCCGCGGGTCTGTTTGGGGGGGTTTATCTGCAGAAAAGCAAACAGGCATTAAGCTTCAGTTTGAACCTGCTGATGGAGTAAGATGACAGTTAACAAGAACTTCCACCTCAGCAGCTACACCCTTCCTTTGGTCCTACTTAAAGATGAGCAGCACGGTTTCCAAGCTCCTTCTCAGACACCACATCTCTGCTGTTCTCACACAGACCGACGTTTTCTAACAGGGACACGGTAAAGGGCGTCGTTACGCCATGACCACGAGACATCCGTGGCTGAAGTGACAGCGACCAATGGCGGCTGCCGTCCAGCGCTCCGCACGGATCCAAAAATAGATGACCATCAGCACAATCATCCATCACAAAGCGCCTCCGCCCCAAACAGCCACCGGGGACACGGCGCTGTGCTAACGGTCTCTATCGGGTTAGGTTAGCCTCGGTGGTGTGTGGCTGAGCGGGTTAGTGTCCTGGCAGGTCGATTAGTGGGCTCACGGAGCCTTCACCTTTAAATTCAATCTGGCCATCAACACAGGATCCAAACAAAGACTTCCCGGGAGAGAGTCCCGCCAAACGCTACGGGCTTCACTGCTTCTCGAAACCGCGTGTTGCTGCAAACACAACGCCTATCGCTGCGACTTACCTTTTTCCGTCCCCAAATATGCGCATTAGCGACCGTTCGTCTCCGCTGCCCGAAAGAGTTGTTGTACAAACTGCGCAGGCGCACAAGGTCTGTTTGGTATCGCGGCTTCACGAACTGCCCCGAGTTAAAGAGACACACCGCCGTTAGCACGAAGAATAGCAGGTAAATGTGGAAAAATAACTAAAGATACATAAATGTAACCAATAATCTAATTATGCAAGTTAGTTCACAAATAGGCCACCCAATAAAAATCAAAGGTCATCGATGAAAGTTCTTGCTTTCTCCATCCTCCGCAAGGTTAATTAAATGAAGCTAAAATCGTATGTGACAAAAAAAACATAAAGAATAATGAAAAATAATGAAACTATTTTGTGAACTTGGAAAACTAGCTCAAATAAAATAAAACAAAATAAAGAGGAAATATTCGTAGTTTTAGGTCAAACATTTTTATCTTATATCTAACATGTTTCACGTTTCTGATAAGGCTTTGATTGACATGTTTATTGAGAGTTTGGACGTCTAAGACTGAGTCAGCTGCTTAGATCTTTCCACACGACAATAAAAAGACTGAAACTAACGAAAACCAAACTGAACCTACATGCCTTCAAATCACAGACGCTAAAATGAAACTAAGCAGAACAAAAAGTGAAAGAAAATATTAAAATAGAATAAATAGAACCCTTGCTATTGTAACCGTGTGTTCTTGCGTGCCTGACAAAGAAAGGTAAAGGAAAGAAAGACCTCCAAGTCATTAACTTACTCGCTCCAGCTCCTGCGGCCAAATACAAACAGGGGGGGAGAGGGTTAGCTCAGCCCATCACAACTTCCAAGCTAGCCAGAATTATATATTCAGCGTTAACGGCGCCTACAACACATTTGTGGCACACACATACTACACATTTATCTAACAAAAACAGGCACAATGATGACAGTAAATGAACTAAAATAACAACCAGAAACATCAGGGTGGCTAAATATTCGTTATATGTGTGTTGTACAGTGTTAGGAAAGCAATGACGCCAACCGCTCCCACAGGAGAATTGTAGAGGCCAAAGGGGTACACTGTATTTCAAACCCAGTGGGAGTTTCCCCCCAAAGAGGGACAAAGGACCCCCTGATGATCCTCTTTGGGGGGAGACTAACACTGGGTTTAAATCTGGGACTCTCCACCAGTTAGAACTGAAGAAGCTTCTCGGATGAGAGGTGAAACGTCTTCAAGCAACTTAAAGAAGTCCAGACGCTTTTCTGTTAATTTAACACTGAAGATTTTGCTGTGCAGCGACGTTAGTATTAAAGAATATATTTATCTCTAGCGTTTGCCTGACATTTCATTTTTTGCTCACGTCACCACGTTTTCCAATTCCTCGTGGCAGAGGAAGATACAGTTGTTCATTTCACTTTGTTTCCACATGCTTTCCCTCGTGCTCAGTGTTCTGTGTCAGTCATCAGTTCAATCTAAGCATTGATATTTTGTGCCTTAGACGTGCAATCAAATATGCAACTCCGAGCAGTATATTAACACTGATGAGTTATGATGTCGTGTCGTGTGGTGTGTGTGTGTGTGTGTGTCTTACCAAAGTGTAGGTCAAATGTTCCTGCCGGCAAAGTCTTTCAACATCATTACTGATGAAAACAGATTGTAATCAGGAGAGGCTGGATGGGTAAATATATATACACACACACACACACACA